TTTTACATCTGAGTAAACTGAGGCCCACAGAAAACTTGCCATAGGTCACACATGTAGTAATACACTTAGGATTTGAATTCAGGTCCTTTGACTCCAAATCCAATGCTCTTCCTATCATACTATGCTGTTGTTTGTGTCTATTCCCTCCAGAGAGCAGTTTCACCAGTTAAATAATAAGAAGGAAAACTTTCACAAAAGCTGTAAAAACCTGGGGCTGCTGCCAACGTCACACCCCACCACTCTTCCCTTACTCTCCACCCCTAATCCCACCTCCCTGTAACTGTCATTCTCTCAATTTTTGTCTTCCTTCCCCAGGTCCGGTCCATCAGCACCAATGTTCGGAGGAACCTTGCATTCCATACCCTGAGCCAGGAGGTTCTGCTAAAGGAATTCTCCACCATCTCTTGAACTATGTCTAGGAAGCCACTCATTGATTGTCCTTTCCCCCTGGAAAACCCCTAGGCTGTGCTCTTTCCCTGAGGGTTCAGGGTTGAAAGAGAAAGACCACCCCTTCTCCTGCAATTTAAACTAGAGGGAGAATTGGAACACCAATCTTTTTTCCAGACCACCTAGATGCCAGTAGAATTTGGACATGGGGTCAGGCAGGGTGATAATGTAATTTGGTGGGAGGGAGGGAGGGACTCCAGGAAAAGGAATGCTGCCAGGGTTAAAGTCTCAAATATGAAGGGATGGTCTGACTGAAATTTGGTGCGGAGGTACACTGGCCAGTGGAGACCAGTGGGCTCTGCTACAGCATGGAGGGCACATAGTTGAGGAACTGGCTTCCTCATTCTGGATTGGGGAGGGAAAGGGCCTTGTTTCCTTCTATCCTGAGGCTGAGATCCCCCAACCTAAGGGTTTGGCATAGCCCCATCCTGGGGATTGTCCCTGGCAGAAGTGGGGCATGGAGTCTGTCCTCTGAATTCCTAGGCTATGCCATGATTTGGGGGCTGGAACCCCCCCCCCCCACCTCCACCAGCCAGGCTGTTGCCCAGCAGCATAATAAGGTCACTACTTAGGTTTGTTTTTGTTTTTTTTTAATCTGTTTTAAACTCTGCGTCTTTAGGTTGTGGATGTGAAATAAACATTGAGAAGTTTTCTGAATTCCTCAGGTGCTTGTTTTCCTCTCCTCCCCTCTGTTCCAGCAAGTCACCTCAACCAGGACCCCCTCCCAAAGCAATGCCTTATGCCACCCATGTGTTTAACACGTGCTCCTTCCCCCACTGCCCATCTGTTGTTTACATCCAGCTTGGCTGAGAAATTCCTCTGGGGAGGGATCTGTTCCTGCTGTGATCTGCCAGCATGAGGGAAAGAGAGACCCTGCCAGGGAAAGGGTATTTACGAGGGGATAACACTTGAGTCCTTCAACCAGCCTAAGGACTCTTGGGACAATAATTCTTCAACACCAGATATAAATCCCAGCCTTGAGAAAATTTTAGCAAGCCTTAGTGTGAACTACCCAGGCTCCCTTCCTCATCAGGTCTAGACCAGGAGAGTATTTGGGTATTGGGGGGAGGGGGAGAAGATAGAAATCTTAGTCCTCAGAGAAATTTAACCAATACTTGAAACATCGCCAGACCTATTCCTGTTTCTTCCCCTTTGTTCTTTTCCTTGTCCAGCCCCTTCTGTAAAATAATCCTAGATAGTTTTTTGTCCTGTATTGCCATTTTCTTTGGTAGTTACTAAGCTGAATGTCCTCACTTTCTAAATCTGTTAGGACAGAAGGTAGAAGTATGAGTGAGGTTCTCACTTCTGTGCTCCCTAGTCAAGATCTGCCATCCTACTTCTGAGCAAACATGGCTGAATGGATAAGTTAACTAGATCCTTCATTATTCACCCTCTGGTGTGATCTGGGAAGGAGAAATAGAAGAAAAATGCTTGCATTTCCTTTCTTCCTCCTAGTGTAGTGGGAGGAGATCCAGGGGAAGAAAATGGCAAATGAGGGACCAACATTCTATTTTTGATAGAGCCTACCCTCGCTACTCCGACCCTTAGCTATGGTTTGGAAGTCTAGGATTATTTTGTTCCTCATTTTGTTTTTACACACATCCCCTTATCCACCCCTCGCCACCCAAGAGTAGCTGTTTTCCCCATCCCAGAGACTAGGAGGCTTGGGGGTAGGAGGAGGCCTGTTGTGTAGGGGTTGGCTTCATTCCTGTTGACTTGCCCTGCCTAGCCTATTTATGTGTCCAGGAACCGAGACCCCCACCTCCAAAGGAGGGGTGGTTGGGGCTGATGGGAACACTGCATTACTACCGTAGCTCAGGCAACTGCTGCACCTCTGCTTGGTGGGGTAAGGAGAATATCAGCCTTCTTTGGGAAATAAGCCCCTTGAGTGCTCAGATTAGTTTAAAACCAAAGGGAATGAGGCCTTTGGTGCTAAGGTTAAGTGAATCTGCCAGTGATTCCTCCTGTAGCTAGGAAAGAGTTGAGGCTTTCAGAGTTCAGAGGCTTAACTTCAAGAGAGGAGGGCTTCATTGTTTCCAAGAATGATAATCAGATGCTGCAGGAACAAGCTGAAACCGATGGGGAAATCTGCATATAGATATTAAGATTGATTTTTACTGATTGACTTCTTTGGTTCTTAATCTCCAACCCTTACTGCCCAAGTTTCATTTCCCATAGATGCCCTGGTAACTACTCCCCCAGATACATCTCTGCTTCTACAACCCCTGCTCTAAATCCTGCCTAGGACTCCTACCTTTTCTTCAAGAACAGCTTTCCTCTCTCCTCTGCTGGAATGAGGTCTGGGGAAAGTCTGTCAGCCCTGGAGACAATCTCATACCAGGGATTTGGAGGTCAGCAGCAGGCTTAAGAGAGCTACCTCCCTGATGTGGAAGAAGTTTGGACTTACCTGTCTTGTAGTTAAAGTCCCTTATATCTAATCATCCTCATCAATAACTCAGTCTTCTTGGGTCTCCATTTATATTTGAGGGCACAGGTACTTCTCTCACCCCACTCTCTTCTTTACCTTCTGCCCCCCTCTCCCCTCCCACACATACCCTTCATCTGGAATGGGGAAAGGGGGGCAGGGAGAAAAGAGAAAGAAAATAATGGAGGCTCCAGTCTGGAAGTCAGACCCATTAGCAGCCAAAGGGCTAAGCTGACTGCCCCAACTGAGGTGATTCTAGGGTCTGGGCTCCCATGGTAGCTGAGAACAGGAGCCTGAACCACCACTTACCCCTTTTTCCTACTTGCAGTTCCCGTTCCTGCCCCCCCCCTCCAGATTCCCAAGCACTAATTGAATCAAGTAGATGGAAATTGAATCCAATTGAAAAGATTAAAAGAACCCCAGGTCTTAACAGCAAAGAACTCCAATGTCTTTCAGTTCTTCCCCTAGGGAGATACCCCTAAATAGTCAGGGAGTCTGACCCTGAGGAACGTTGCCCCTATGTCCAAACCAGGGGACCCCAGAGATGGACTGAAGGTCTCCAGTTCCACTTAAGGGACTAGAAATCATGGCAGCTGGTACTCTCCAAGGGAGATCCAGTGGAAATTCAAACATCAGAAGAGTTAAACTGCAGGGGATAGCTGAGACCGTGGAGGGCTTGGGTCCAGAACCCAAAATGGAAGAGCATCTCAGAGTGAGGACTCCGGAAAACTAGTCATGCCCCTTCAGGTTGAGCTGGAGGGAACAAGGACCTCTCTCCTTCCCCATGTTCCGTCTCACCGTGCTCCTTCCCAGATGCAGCTGTTGCAGATACTGGAAGATGGTAAAGTATGGGGCATATAACAAGAGGTCACTTTGAGAAAGAATTCAAGGGGCAGCTAGGCAGCACAGTGGATGGAGCACCAGCCGGAAGTCAGGAGGACCTGAGTTCAAATCTGGCCTCAGACCAAACACTTGACACTTACTAGCTGTGTGACCCTGGGCAAGTCACTTAACCCCAGTTGCCTTAAAAAAAAAAAGAAAAAATTCAAAGCAGACAACTTCTGAGATACAGCACCTGAGGCTCACTCACTTTTCTCCCGCTATCTGTAATCTCTCCATGTGGTGTCAGACTGGGAAGCAGTCTCCAGCATAGCGACTGGAGTACAGGCTGTATGTCAGGGAGCAGGGTGGTTCTAGAGCTTGGGGAAAATGAACTAAAAATGCCCACTTCCACTGGTCTGCACTGAATCAGTGCTAAGGCTTGGCCTTCTTTTCCTCTGCATCCCCCCCCCCCACATACCTCCATACCTGCGGGAAGGGGGTGGGATTGGCTAGGGATGTGGGAGGATGTGACTAAGAAAGATAGACATACTGGGAGAGAGACAGAGACTCTCAGCGGGTGAAATAGAGGGACAAGGCAGAGACATGGAGACAGAGACAGAGAGAAAAAGAGAGAACTGGTGGATATGAAACCTTTTTCGCTTGAAGAGAAAGGAGACCCCGGCGGCCCCCACATCCTGTCCCCCTGCCCAGGCCGCCTCCCCGCCCAGGCCGCCTCCGCTGAGGTGGAAGCAGGTACCTGAGGCTCCCTGGGGGCGGGGGGACTAGCTCGGAGGAGGCCGGACAAGGAGGGAGAGCCTCCCGTGGGGCACACGTCTCTCCCCCCGGCTCGAGGGACTACGATTTGGGGGACGGGGGCGTTAAAGACCTCCCACCTCCTTGCGGTCCTCTGCCACCTCCCCCGGGCAGTCTTATAGAGGTGGGGGGACTGGGGAAACCAATCCCAGCAGCGCTGAGGGAGGGAGGCGGCGGTGACAGCCGCGGGGAGGGGGCGGGAGGATCTGGGCGGCTCGGGCTGACTCCGGCTCCGGCTCCGCTCTCCCCGGCAGCCTGACTCTCTTCCAGGACTGCGGACAGCCTCGGGCCCCGGCTACCGGGCCGAGGGGCGCGCAGGAGCCGGAGCGCGGGACCGGCAGGGGGCGTCCCGCAGCCGGGACCTCCGGCCTCGGACCCGGGACCGGCCGGCTCGCTCTCACCGCCAGGGGGCGCTGCGGGACTGCCCCGGCCCCCGCGCCCCTTCCCGGCCGGGGCGGGCAGTGGAGTGGGGGCAACGGCCGCGCCGGGGGCCATGCGGGGCCAGGCCCGGAAGGAGAGTCTGTCCGATTCCCGAGACCTGGACGGCTCCTACGATCAGCTCACGGGTGAGCTCAGGGCCCCGCTGTGGGCAGCGGGCGCGGGGTGCTCGGAGCTCTGACCCCCAGACCCCGGACCCTCAGCACCCCCTTCTCTCCTTCGCCCCCCGCCTGAGGCATCGGGGCCGTGGGCCTGGGTCCCTTTAAGTAGATCCCACGGGAGTGGGGGGAGGGAGACAGCAGGAGCAGGCACACGTGTGAAACGGTTGTGTGTCTTGTGTGAGTGTGTGTGCATTTGTGTGTGCGCGTGTGTGAGTGTGCCAGCCAGCCCGTTCGGTGACACTGAAAACGGAGCTTTCCCAGAGCCGGTTGCCATGTGCCCTCAGCTGGTGACTGACAGCAAGGTCCATGTGACAGAGCGTGTTGTTGTATGTCTGAGGGCGGCTCGGTGGCTGATGTATGTGATTGCATGGGACCGCATTGTGTCCACAAGAGCCCGCGATGTCTACCTCTCCACAAAACTTTGTAACGGTGCACCTCAGTGTGTGACAGTGTGGTTGGACTAATTGCTCCGTGTGGTCTGAGCTCTGAGCTTTTCTAACGTTTGTTAGACTGTGGTCCACAGTGTATCTGTTAGGAGATGTTATTGCGTGACTATATGAGAGCGTAAATGGGTGTGTGTGTGTGT